CACTGTACATTATAGCTGCTACCACCTGGCAAATTGACTAATTCGGATCTTTACTGTCAACAACTAACAGGATTATTACAAACAATTGAAAAAAATAGACCGGGATTAATGAAGAGAAGGATATCCCTCACCAGGACAATGCCAGACCACATACATCTATGACTACCTGACAAAAACTGAGAGAACTCGGATGAGATTTTCGAAGCATCCGCCGTACAGCCCGGCTTTTGCACCATCAGATTATTATCTAGTGCAATTCTTGTAGGGCATTTTCAATAGTATTCACATAATTTTAAAGCAGGGATGCAAAAATCGCTTTTTACAGTGTTTTGCTCAGAAACCACAGAACTGCTACAGTGTTGAATTTACGGTATTATTAGAAAAACGGGCCGAAGGTCATAAATCAAAATGGGGCACGCTTAATTAGGAATATTATTTTAAAATGTAAAAACATATTTGCTTCAAATTTGGTCTTACAGTCAATACCTTTTTGACAATGCACTATAAGAATTTTGCTGCGGTATTCTCATGAAATCTCTTTTTAAAAAACGTGCACTACTTTTAAAAACAAGTTAGTTAGGCGATACTATCCCTATGTTAATCGAAATATAACGCAACTTTGGAGATATGATACTACATAATGATCCATGCGCAATCAGTAAAATATAAAAATTATGCTTTTACATTGCACTACACTACGTTTTGTTGCCAACTATAATTGTCTTTTATGAAGTACTAAATATGTCAGGTCCATACTGTTATACAGACCTGCTAATAATCGTAGGTTATGAGAATGGAAGCATTAGGATTTACGGTACAACGATAAAAATAAAAAATTGAACTCGTCATTATCATTGTTTATTAAACAAGTGCAAAGGAAGACGGAAAGCACGTAGGAAGGGATCTAGTAGATATGATCTTAAATGATCTAGAAAATTCAGACTTATCCAGGTCTACAGACGTTTTTTTAGAAGAAGTTTTAATGGTTACGTTCCTTGGGTATCATAACTGGCGTAAAATCAACGCTCTTTGCAGTTAATGGAGGAGCGACCCAATTTAGCGATCAAAACCAAATTTCTGTGCACCTTAACATATGGAATCTATACAAAGAAGCTGTGATTTAAGGTGTGTTCTGTCAGGTACAAAAGAAATTCTGGAGAAAGTTAGCACATAAAGTAGTCAATAGAATTTACCAGAAAATGACTGGAGAAATGGCTACGTCGGTTTTACGAAATCGGAGTCTGTCAAACAAAAAAACAACATGCCATATGAGTATTTTTTAAACTGCATTTTTTCTCATTGGTTCTCACTACAATTACCATCAAATAATCGTCAACGATTGTGTTTCTGTCAAGTGGCTTAATTAGCCAACTGGAATGTAACATCAAAGGAAAAATGTTATTTTTAATTAATAAGATCACGATTGGCTTCACGAAGAAATTGTCGTTGAAGTTGCTTAGTTTGAAAAACCTTTAAGAAGCGTTTCAACTAGTAATTACCATAGGCTAAAGGTAGCAAAGGTCGCACAAATCTCATTGCCCTTTCATACCATTTCATTTCATTCCAAGTTTTACCATTGATTCGAGTTCTAAACACAGTAAAGCAAGCATAGACACGCTGTGCACAATTGCTATAAGTAGTGATTTCGAAAGTAGTCGCAGTTTCTAATGAGGGAGGCTATTGAGAAACTAACATTAGAAGCAAATACTAGAGATAATTAGGTTAGAGAAAGAAAATGTCCAGACTACTCTAATTAGTCTTTTCTGTAGAAATGTACTTCCAAATTTTAGTATGTGGCCGTTTCCAATTAAAACCCTTAAACTTCACTCATAGTAAGACCGCTTTGGTGAAAAGACTTCAAGGATGAAGTAGATGAAAAGACTGCCGTGCTAAGAATGCGGTTATAGCATACGGCCTGTCAGGTATGAAATGTACATTAGTTGTTGCAGGTACAAGAAGAATCTGTATTGTATAATTCAAGATGACTTAAACAGCCAGCATTGAACATTGTGAACCTTGATTCGGACTAGCGTACGTACAGTTTTTTCCTAGCTTCATAACTACTAAAGATCATAAAATGCAACCTGTTAAACAGGTCGTTCAGGGAACACGATTCAAGTATTCTATCCATTTTGTTCGATGTTGGCCATCCATTACTAAATATACCTGCTTCACCAATGCCCCAAAGGTTCTTAAAGCATAATGAAATTAGTACATCCATCGTCGTGAAGTTACTGTTATCAAAATACGGAACGCTGCTTGCAGTCTCACACGGAACGGCCACAAAGAATTGCCGGGCTAAATAAGTCTAATGACAACATGACAGCAGTTCTGGCACTGTATAACTACTCATTGAATTGTTTTGTGTAAAGCTTTGCCATCTCAGTAATTACCTTACTAAAGCAAGGGCAACATAGATAAGTCAGGACAAACGTCTAAGAGAGAGATCGCCTGTACTAGCGGAATTTTGTGCTGCTACCCCACCGAATTATCATGTTTTTACAAATGTCGCTCACAAATGTCATTTTACTCCGTTTGTCACTCCGTTTGGAGCTCTCAGGAATTAATCGTCACGGTAAAAATCCTCAAGTAACCTAAGCAGCTACTTATTTAGCTATGTAAGCAGTTAAGAAAGACCCATATAACTTTGTAAGGTCTAACTGCTCATGATGTCTTCTGCAGCAAAACATATGTAATGCTATTTCTTATCACCCATACCATCAGCTTTAATAGCTAATTTACAACTTGAAGGCTTCCTAAATAACTAATTAACTTAGCGCCTATCGAACTGACCAATAAGGACACTGTTTTAAGCTGATTTCCTTAAGATCTTTTTATCCTTACGCACGTTCGTTCTTTCATTTTATTGAAGATATATAGTTGGCCTTTTTGTGGCATTGCAGTTTCGTCATAGTGAAAGACGGGTGAATGATTTACCCACAAATGCTATCCGACAGATCTTACTCGCCAAATTAAATTTTTGTTTTTCTCGTAATCAGCGAAATCTCTAAAGCTCAGTCTCCCTATTTTTTAAAATGCGAATCGAAAAGCCGATCGTTCACGGGCCCTTACATTTTTGGTATTTATTTTTTAACTGAAAATTTTTTATTAAAATGCGCATGCACATGTTGGATAGCAATAACTATAGTGGCTAACGTATCTATTCCTTCACGGAAACATTTTTCGCTGGAGCTTTAGCCTTCGGTTTAAGGTACAAGTACAAGCCAAGTATAAGAAAGCCGACATAGGTGGATTTAGCGATGTTTGTACGCCCAAGATCAGTAGTAGTGTTGTAGTACTTCGAGAAGCCTTTAAATTGAGCCTCTGTCGCTGGGTTAGCACCGCCAGCCATTCTGAAACAAACGCAAATAAGCCAAATTACGTCATCTGCTAAGCTGATTTTGGGAATCTCAACATTGGGTGGGAAAAAATGGATTTTGGGGAGTTAAATTTTTAGGCACCATCTGCCTGCAAGGAAGAAACCTAACAATATACAAATAGTTGATGGCATGTCAGTCCCACTACTAAACCATATCTGATCCCAAGTTAATAACCTATAGCGCTATTCAGTAAACATTTCTTCTTTCTTAGGGATAAACGAGTAATTTTTAGCGCTGAAAAGAAACCTGGTTGTTTTTTTTAATCATGACTCGAATATATACAAATAAAGCAATAAAAATAAAGCAAATAAAGCCAAACAACCCTATTTCACTATCCTCAGTTGCACATATACAATGTACATGACACAATAATTACGTATTGCCTCAGGTTTATAACCTACACATTTGTGAATGAGATTGTTTTAACAGCATACGGTTTTAGCCATTTTCCAACTAAACTTTAACAGAAAGGACAAGGCATATTTTATGGTGAACAAAAATATTTCGATCAATAGACAAATAGAAACATTTTCTTAAGTTAGAGGTCTTTTCCTTGTGTTTTGTGCACATTATCAATATCTCTAAAAGGTTGCACCGACACAACCCGGTAAATTGTTAAATGAGATCATCTTTTAGCTGATATTCAAATAGAATTTGACACGAATTTGAGCAAACTAACATTGGATCATTCGAATATTTATTACGTGAATTAACAATGTCCCATCAACGTGGGTTCTTACAAAAGAGTCCAGTCATATATGCTTTATCATATTATAATCAACTTTGAACTTATTATTTTTTAAAATATTGTCCACCACAGGCAACGTAATCGCGTACCAGTGGTGGGCATCAATCGCGGCAAGGGACATAGGTTTTGAATGCAATCAGTCGAAGACTTACTCCATGAGTGCTTCAAATGAATTTTGAATGGACAAGCCATTGGCGTTGAGGCTTCAGAATCACCTCTCTTATATTTAAAAAAATGTTTGATAATGATATTGTGTAGAGAAAGCGATACATACTACTAATAGAAGAATAAAATATCTTACTTGTCAGGAGCGTGTCCTTGCTGTCCAAGGGTCTCAGCAAAAGTAGCAGCTTAACGCAGCGGACAAGGTCATAAGAGTAGTGCTGGAAAAACAAAAACAAACAAACTAACCCGCTTATAAAAGGTATATTCTTCTGCTATCACTTGCTATACTACCTATTTGAATTGGGTAATAGTTCTATAAGAGTCTTGTTAATTATATGTCGTAGTTATCCTCGACGAAGATCACTTTAAAAACCACGGTAAATGAACTTAAATGTAAAGTCCACAATTGTGGCTCGGTGGAAAGAAACAAAAGATCGATATTTGTAGTATTTTTCAAATTCTCCCGCGACTGCGCAGACGAATTTTATTGTTCGAGAGATCTACTGAGTTTCGCCATTCAAATTCAAATCGACGTTGTATGTCCTCTGTGTACAAAGATCGTGAACGTTTGGATGCAAAGAAAAAATCTTGAATGTTGAATGATAAGACGGTGCTCACCACAGACGGGACTTACGAAACCCATTAGTGCTAATAAGATATTCTTAGTAATTGATTAATTGTTTAATGTAAGTTAAATGTAGCCTAATGCAACCTGATAAAATAACGTTAAGTGACAAAATTAGTTAAAATGTTCAAACACCACAGTAAATATCCTGCATCGTTTTATTGCCGAAGTACTTAGTTAAGTGTCAATTTTGCAGAGGAAAGTGTCGGGCGCTCATAATCCAAATGTATGTGTTTCTGAATAAAAAAAAAACTAATTAATTCACTAATAAATTTTTTTCAATGTTGGTAAAACTAAGCTCCGGTGTATTCTGCATTCCTTGGCTGTTCAATAACGACTGCTGACATCAGCTTCGATATGTTGCCAGATTTTGTCGACTTCACTGTTTGACATTTGCGGAAGCAAAAAGAACATTCAAAAATTTTCACTTATTATGAATTTAACTGGATTTGTCATACGTAGTGAATACCACTTTCGAGTAACTTGAAAACTGCCTGGTGTAACTCAAGTAGATGTTGTCAATGTTAAAAATACGTGTTGAAGTAGAGAAACGTTGTCCCTAAAGATAAATTTTAACGGAAAGTCATTGTTAGTTGTCCTTAGTCAGTTTTAAGTGGCTCTAATTACGTAATACGGAAAGCAACAGTACTCGCTTTAAAAAAAGAAAATTTATATATTATGCACTCTTTTCGTTTTAGATTGAGCTTATATTTGGCTTATCGCGTTGTTTCCCAGGAATTCTGTAATATTAAGTTTAGTTCAAATAAATAATTATTTCTGACATACCTAATATGCTTCATTTCGTGTTCCTTAAATAGTCATTTTCAATGCACTGGTACAAACGTACGCATACTTGTGTTAATATTAATGTGTAAATCCTAATATAGCTGAGTATATGGTTAGCTTACCTGACAATAGTAACCGCCAATTTTCGATTTTTTTTGTTGGATCTACAGACTCCTTGTGGTAGAAGGATAGCTCTATAAACTGCGCAGGAAAAGCATATTAAACAATGGCATCATCAACATCGCCGGCTCCATCGTATGCGATGGTATTTTCGCCGCCTCAGAAGAAAGAATCTTGTCCGCCTCCTTCCGAATTTCTTCTACTCAAACCGTTTTCAAAAGCACCGTCGCTCCAAATGACACTGGCGCAGCCAGGTAAAATACTACATTGACAAGAATAAAATGGCAGGGTTTACAACTATATTTCAAGCAGCTTTTCTAGTAGTTATTTGGATCGCGCGATAATGTTTTTCATCAATTGCAGTGTAACAATATTCAATGCTCTGTACCAACCACTTTCATCAATGCGTCGCCTTTCCTTCAACCAGCCATTGTGTAATTATTTTCCATTCTAAGTGAATATTTCCATGTTACATTTTAAATGACATAAACAAGTAAAAGATGTGCCATAAAGAATGGATTGCGCATGCCCAGGTAATCAAATGGGATCGGTAAATAGCTTAAGGTACACCACTTATACATTCTACAGTTAGAAAAAGAAACCGTACATTAACAGTATTGGATTTTTTTTTATTACTTTCGTTACGCCTTGTACGCCACGTCGTGTGTACTGGCGGACCGCTGCCGCCTGTGGCCAACTGTACACTTCCATCTCAGGAATATGCCGAACCACTTTACTAACTATACAAAATATAGACAACATTTCAAGTAGAATTTATTTCGAGATTCCACCGGGAAAACCATTAACCATCCGGCCTGAGACTCTGGTTATAAGTCCGCAATCTATAGAGGTAAGCCAAATTTACTTCTAACATTCCTAAAAACATTGTACATACTTTAATATAACGCTAAACCTACCTTACATCTAAGATTGGTGAGATATTCGTAAATTGTAACAATAATAATAAGAAATAATTGAATACTATAGCCTTTTTTAACTAAATAAGGTCGCAACATGTTAATTGTATTTACATAAAACAGCTTTCGTATCTAGATTTTGTTCAGAAGAATCCTTTGTACGAATCTGGAACCGGCGTGCGTCTTCATCGTAATGCCAAATTGCAATTTGGCAGAAAAGTACCTTTTTCATTGACAGAACTGACCTTCACAGGCCGATGTAACGACTACCCGTTATTCAGCGACATTTTGTTGCTTAAGTTTCATTAGCCGGTGCACGGTAAACCTACATGAAGATGACTTGAATGTTGGGTTGAAATCTCAAATAAATAGATTCGTGCTGGAGATCTACTTGCTGAAGAAATGCCAACGAAGTCCGAGAGCCAAGACAGGTCTGGGTCAACTATTGCTGATCTATATCGGATAAAAACGAATCGTTGCTGGTGTCTACTGCATTTTAATATTGGTATGTAGTACTGACAGCTCTACCACGTAGCGGGTCATTTATCAGACGAGGATCTGTAACACACGTATCTGCTTTCTTGCTCAGAGATCAGCAGTAAAAAAGCACAGGATGAGCAGGAACATGCGAAGCAGAACCAGGCCTCGAAGCCGTGATTCGTATCGGTTCACAAAACGACTCCAAGGAAGCCGCAAGCTGAGAGGGGGCTTCGCCGGGTTCGGTTTGGCGTTTCTACTTGCAGCAGGTCTAATGGGAATAGGATCTCTACTTAGCTTGGTTTCGGATGATTGTGACTTTATACCTCTGTGATAAGCCCAGGCCTTTATTCTGGAGACATGGGTGAGGCATAACGACCGATTTGCGGAGCGCAAACGATTCGACTTAAAATTTACCTTGGTGCGCTAAATATCTTAGTACTTGATCGATGAACTATATGATCCTTGTGAGCGTTGCTATGCTTCGGTCTACATCTATCATTACAGGCTAATAAATAGTTATTTGACTATTCGTATTTTAAGTGTACCTATCAGTGGCCACGGACAAAACGTTAACGGTTTGTTCGTACGTATGTTATGGTGTCTAATCAGGTAATTAGCAGAAGTTCTTAAATTACCTCAATAAATGGATGTTTTTGGCTATTACCTTAAATGCTTTAATTACTAAATGACTGCATGATAGAACAGCATTTCTTATCTCAACACACGCGTCTACCAGAGTTAGATAACGGTATTTTCCGATAAATCAAATAAATAGTGGGGCTACTTCGATATATGGAATTGAGCACTTGAAAATCGAACATTGAGTTGCATCTATGCTCCTTGCAGTGTTTGTTATATATATTATATATAATATAATAGCGGAAATATTCATCAGCGGAGATAACATCACATAATCGTAGTTTGTTGGTACACTAAATGGCAATCAGTAGATACACGAATCTTGTCCGGGCAGCCTTCACTAAAAATGGCATCGATACCCGAATTCAATTGTTAAGTTATATCGTATTTACGTTTTGTTTTTTAGATTTTTGAGGTGACAGCTGTGGACCCGAAGGAATCGTTTCGCGCTACCGTAAAAGTCTTCGCGCCTGACATAAAATTTTATCGTGGCGGACAGGTACATTGGTTAAGCAAGTACATTACTGAAAGAATTTAAATGGATTATTTTTATTGATCGTACGAAGTGATGAGGGCCGTTATACTGATTCAAAATCATTTCCAAAATACTCATCAACAATTATGAGCGCTTTAGTATTTCCTTACAAATCCATACTAAAATCTTATTCGCATTTTGCTAAAGTTTTTGTCTCAGCATCACATATCAAAATTCTACATAAAAGGTAGATGCTCAACAGATGCCTCTTAGCCTTCAAAAACTGGAGCGGCACCTGAAGGTAAGCTATAGAGAACTACGTGCTAGGTGTAGGGATCACGCGGCGGGAGTTAACGAGGCCAGTTCCATAATTGGTTCTGTGTAGAGTACCATATATATTTCTTATAAACAGAAGCAAACACTACACTTGTCCTTTTCGGCCTTTAACGGTAACAAGGTTTGTCCTACCCGGGTAGCCTATACAGAATAATGGGTTCGTTCTCCAGACAATTTCCTTACCACTTAAGTAACGCACTAACCTACCCTTTATGTGCTGTTCATATTGTTCTCTTATACCGTTCGTAGGTAAATGTTTCAGTGACAGTGAAGCAGCCGGTAGTTAAAGTTGAAAAAAAGAAACGTCCCAAGGTGGTCGCGCCAACCACGAAATTTAAAGCAGTTACAGTTCCAACGGTTTGTACTTTTAATTTGCTCTAAATTATTTTACAGATTACAAGCAGATAATGATGTGCATCTAATCAGAAGCTTAGTCCTTTTCATAGTGCAACTCCGGTCTAGTACAACAATATAACAGGCGCACTCAGCGTAACCCTCCATTCCTCTCTAAATTACCTATCGAGTTTAATATCATGTTCTGTGATGATAAAGCAATCGTGTACTTCTTAACTATTGCAGAAGGTTATGAATGTTGTCAAATCGAATTGATTAAACGTTTGTTAAATTTTTTTAAAGAGATTTTTCTAATACGATTAACGTAAAACCAGAAACGACCTGCACAAAGTTTAACATGGACCTGGTATGGTTCTAACGAGTTGCTTTTGTGACGTCAAAACAAGACAAAGAAAGCACTTACTAAAGGCAAGATGTTTGTGATTTTGTTCAATGTAGGAATTCAAGTTTCAGCCGTCTCGAGAAGAACGGAAAAAAGCCACTCAAACGAAAGATTTGACTATTATTGCAGATGACAAGAAGGGGTTGTCAGAAACGTCGACTATAGATCCGCCAGTCGTGCTGCGGCCGATTGATCAGACGTTCAACCTCGATGATATTCGTAGGTCTGACTCCCGTGAAATTTTGATATTTCTTAGCCTAAAAAAAATTCGCTACCTACTATGAATCTTGGGTAACGGTTTCAGGCTAGATTTTTTTGTATTTTAATTCTATTCAAAAAACAGTGCATAGGTAGAAAATTTTTTCGTAAATGCTTCTGCAGAAGTCTGAGGTACTGGAGTGTAAGTCTTGAAGGGCAATTTCAATGGCATGTTGAAATTTGAATCATTTCATTCCCAAGAAATTATTGAAATTTCAACAGAAGTGTTTAACAACTATAATAGATGACATAGAGCCTCCAACTGTAACGCCTGTATTTTTATCACTGATTCTTGTGGCGTCAGGTCGAGCATTGTTGTTCACTAGGAACGGTTTCGCTTCATTCTTTAGCCTTGGCTGCTCAGCATGAGTTTTTATCCCATTTAATTGTAAACAATACACTTTACCCGTAAGCCAAGACGAATGAGGCTGTGGCAAATAACATTGGCATTATACCATCAAACAAAAGCCATACATTTTTGCAGCTGTACATTACATCTAGAGTGATGTTCCGCGGGTTCAGTTGTATCCACCCACTGATGCGGCCGCCTGTAATTATTTTAGAGTATGTTTTTTAGTTTAAGTCACGCCTCGATTTAGATAAATCTGTTTTATCGTGAACACAAAGAGAAGCTATGTCTGTTTATTTTCGCTCAAGTCATGCGGCAGCCATCTATTTTTATCAGCTTATTTGACTGACTTAAAGAAGTGTCGTATTTTGATAATTATAATTCCACATTTTACTCAAGGGTGTTTTGTTATGATGCATTTAGAGTAAAACCAGTATACTATCTATTGTTTTATAATTGCTTGCGTGGCACACAGGACTTTACATGAGAAAAGGTCACTTACACGCCTCCTTTTTGGCTATAACTTTTACTAGTCGTTAAAGGGACATGACATTTGTGTCGATCATCTCGAACATTGCTGTTTTACATTCATCAAATCCCAAGTGTTGACACTCGTAGATTTTGAATTAAATTGGCTTCTACCATAACCCTCAACTCATAACTATTCACATTTGAAAAAAATTTTCAGCGTCATTTATGAGTTTAAAGCTTTCTTTCCAAATTTTGTCGAACGGCTTAAGGTAATCTTAGTAGTAAAACCTTTGCCAGATAAAAGCTTTATAAGGCGAGATATCCTAGCCACTGTAACTCCAAGATGAGTCATGTCAAATTTTTTTGATTTTCAACTTAGCAACTTGACTACTATAGGCCTGAGTGATAACGGAATTCGCGGTTTCACATTCAAAGAGCACAAGAAAATTTTTTTGAGCAAAGTGTCGCGATGTGTCGCACCACTATAAAATGGCGTCACCCTTAAATTTGAGATTAATGATTGTTAAGTTTCTCAAAACAATCTTATATATGGATACGGAACTCGTTAACTGCCGATATCACACTATCGGGGGACTACTGAGATCTCGATCTGCAGTCGCCGCATTGCAAATTTTCTTTTCCAAATCTATCATACCTTTGCATCACAGCTATTATCATTGTAAAAAATCATATTTGAATATTACAGACAAACCAATCTTATAAAAACAGCAATTGATGTAAATCAGACCTATATGGTACCTCCTAAAACTGCCGACACTGATCCGCGTGATCCCGTGGCTTTCCTTCGCCAGTCAGTGAATGCGGAAGGTTGTAATGTACGCGCGGCCGTTTTCAAGTACCTTGAATTTGCCAAAGCTCGAGGTATAAGCGTGCCTCCGGCGTCGCAGGAACAAAAAAACTGTATGTATGACCAGTTTACTACTATTCCTTCACAGTTGCGGATGCTTTTTATACGGTACGTTACGTCTTAGATAACCTTTAGCGATAATCACTCTTCTGTTTAACTTATTAAAGCAATGAACAACATGCTCCAAGAGTTACTGCCGGTTATTCAAGATGGTCGAATAACCTTCGTTCTCCAGAAGCTAGCGCAAGTAAGAGCAATTCAAGCTGAGCCTCAAAAAGAGCAGGATAAACCACAACCTGATGGTGTAGAAGACGGTAGAGATAAAGAAAATGCGCGGCCCATTGACACGAAAATTATGCAGGTTTGTAGACTGCGCCGTTAAATGTTTTATTTGTTACTAGATAATGTACATATCACTAAATTATGTTTTTCCTGTTCACGTTAAGATGCTACTGTTTCCGCCAAAAATGTAGTTTTTTTTGTGTGAGAGCCACTAATGCTGAAATTTTGCAACGAAGTACAAAAAAAATACATTCGAGAGAAAGAATCATTTCACTAAAGAGGGATATTCTTCAGATGACAAATGCAAGTGACATAGTTGGTGGAACAATTCAAAACATGATTTTACAAAAATACGTTTCCATATAAGGGATATAAGGACACATATGTCATAACTTAATTAGATAAAAAAAGAGGCCGCCAATTGGAATTTGTCCGTGCCACGTGAAGTAATTACCGCAGGGGTCGTGTGCTTGTCCGGATACATTTGCCTTATTCAATAAATTGAATACGAATATCTGGTGGTGTTGTTTTTCATGTCAATTCATTTTTCTGCTCAGGTGCGCGGTATGGAAAATAGATCACGTCGCTCATCCAACCTTACGACATCGTCACCTAAACACAAGCAATCGACGGACGGTGCTTCATTAACAATGACGCATTGCGTTGATCTAGATACGCCGGAGCGCCTCTCCGGGATGTCACAACGAACTGTCGGAGAAATGGTTTCGAATTATTTACCTGAGGGCGCCTCGCCTTTAGACTTGATGGCGGTAGATTCACCGGATGTTAGCGCTATTTATCCCATCGGCGGCGGAGGAAATAATGGGCCTCAATCAGCACCGTCGGAATAATTCTACACAGCATTTAAAGCCGCACTAGATGCTAATGCTATCACTTATCGTCATTACATTTTACACATATGTACACACATGCGCATAGACACAAACGAGTCTCATTTGAAAATATTTCTTTTATTGAGTATTTTGCTATGCATGTGGTGAGTAGAATAAATCACAAAAATTTACGATACAATGACTTAGTCATAACAACGGCTATGAATTATTGCACTCGGACAGGAAGAAAATAATTTAGTGTTTAATGTGCCCTACGGAATCACGTCGGAATTTTTTTTCGTAAATTGCAACCGTTCATTATAGACAGTAATTACACGTTCTAGATTATAGGACAATAAAATCTATTGTGATGTTCATGTGACTAGTAACTAGAAAAACAAGCACACGTACAAAACAACGGGATTTCAGTGAAAACATACGTGAATGGAATATTTGGCAAATACATTTGTAGAGTTTTATTGAATTGCAACCTGTATTGGATGCAACTTTCATTATGGTAAAATGGTTTTCTGAACAACGATTTTAATGAAGAGCGTTTCTATTTTTACACACGATAATCCAATATTGTATTCCCACTGAAAAAATGAATTTCAAGTGTATCTTTAGATACGACGATCCTAGAGATAATAATGGCTTGTGAAGTTTGCTGAGTCGTTCTTAAGTCGTTAGGCATACTCGGCCTGCGTGAATTGTATACCAAATTTGCAAAGTAAATCTATTCTATTGTTGAACTGTATGAGCTGTAATTTATTCTTTGTTCATTCTTACAAAATAGGTACTTTTGTATGAGAAGAAGAGTGCTCTAAGGGATATATAATAATAATAAATAAGCAGTACTGACAGTCGAAAGGACTAAATTCGCTGTTTGGTTAAATAAAGCATAACAGGAGATAGCTGAAGAGACCTCTTACGAAAATAAACGTTTGTTGCATATGGCCTTTACAAAACTAGGAATGTATGTGAATGATATGGCACACGCGAAAGCTGACAGCTTCCTCGACTTGCATGCATTAAAGAAAGGATATTGTTCGAATTTCACGAAAATGCGTTAGCTGCAAGCTCTATATAAGTAAAGCGGCCTGTTTTAAAGGCATTATTAGTGCTATCAATTTAAATGCCTGAGCGGACACTTGTGAGCGCGCTTGAGAAGATTCTATAGTACGACTGATACCACACCGATGCACAAGCGTCTTGGCTATGTGTTACGCTCGTCATAAGGAGGTGTTATAGATGGAAAAGTACTTAACTTCCACTAGGTTTTTTTTTTAAACAAAAACTCTACGCGAAAGATTACAAAAGGTCTTTAAAATTAGATAACTTTGCTATAAATATCACCGTGCATAGCTGCTTCCTTTATTTTTTTATAAAGCAACTATGTCAACTGATTCGTTAGTTTTAACTAAGCTGTATTTGAATAAGTTTCAGTTCTCAAACGGAACGAAATACGACACCTGAAATGTAATTGAAAATTTGTACTTCTATGCTCGAAAAAGGAATTAACTAATGTAAGGAAATCCGATGGAAAAGACGTGTAATTTATGGGCAATATATTTTGTTATTTCTTACTCTTTCTAGTATTAGCAGATCAACCAACAGAGCAAAAAAAATATTAACAGCGATGTGTATCCATTTTACGCATCCCAGTTTACATCGTTATGCCATTTGGATAAACCACCTTTGCTTACATCCATCTTTCTCTTAAAAAACACGAAAGCTAGTTACGTTTCTTGTTTATATATGTAATATATAAAAAAAAACTGCTAACATTTTTTAACCGCAAAGTAAATATATATTTCTTCTTAGCTGTTTTGTTTTTGTTTTTCGCTATATATATATATATATATATATATGTATATATATATATATATATATATATATATATATATATGTATGTATAATGTATATATGGACTGTTATACACGTATATTATGTTTTTATGAATACCGAAAGTAGAGCCACTGCTGACATACAGATCGTTTTCACTTCTTTTGCGTATTACCTTCTAACCAAGACTTCGTGCACTTACATTATCTTCTCTTGTATATGTTCTTACAGTACGATTGGTTACGTGTCTTGCGTTTTTTTTGTTCTTATTCTATATAATAAAAATAGTTTATTAAAAAATTAACCGAAAATAGCATAGTCGTAAATAAAAGATTGCAATGTTCCCAAAATGGATCAATCAAATAACAGGTTATAACTAGCCATCGACTCGCCGAATATGTTTCTATCCTATTACAGACAATGCCACTGCCGCCTTACTTTCTTACACAAATAGTTAAACCAGCAGACACACTACGGTTTAACAGTCAGTGAGTATACCAATAAGTACACTGGGAGTCAGGAATAACCCTTGGTTGGTATCTTCCTAATCTACAGTTTTTGTGCATATGTTTTAATTACACCGAAAGACACCGGTTTCATCTTTACTTCACTGTCTGTTACTCTATTCTCACTATGTTAACCCCTAAATAACCCCGTTCTGCTGTATTTTTTAGACGCTCACTACGCTATGATAGTCAGCTTTAAAAGCTCCATTTCAAACGATAATGGCGAAGCTGTACTCTTTACATTGCAGCCCATTGTTAAGAAGCAGGCAGACAATTTTTACATAGATAATTGATTGTTAACGATCGTTCAGCAATACTCAGCTTTCAACAGGAAAGCTTCATGGTTTGTGTGCCTGTGTATGTTTGCGCGCGAAGGATGTGTCCGTGATACGTGTTTTTTGCTTCTTATGCACTAATTAAAGTTTTACTGAAACACCCTATTTGTCCAGTAAGTAGCTGTTTCAATAGCGACATTTGCATTGTGCAGTTGTACTTATATATTGTCTTTTCTTTTAAATGTCACACATAACATAATGCGCTAGTGAAGGTCGATAAATCTTTTATCTGAAACACCGTATAGAAAATGAAATCTTTTTCTTAAAGTACTATATATATAATAGTTATGGTCCTTCTATGTAAGATGTGCTACATTTTTGGACAAAGTACTACCTAAGTGTTTCACGTCGATTCGTCAGCCCTTAACCACTAAAGGGTCTCTTGGGTTTCAGCATCTTGTCGCAGATTAGTATCGACACAGGAGTTGTATTTTACTCAGTCTACTTAATCACGCTAAAGTAACATTTGCAAAGTTTGAACATGCGCTTGTACATAACTTTCATAGTAACGTAGTTACATAACACCCCGATTTAGGATTAATTAATCTCTAGAAGTCCTAAATTCGCTCTTGATCCCCTCTCCCAAAATTGCTTAGGCTACGAGGGCGGTGCACGAGTTCCGCCCTCTGATGTTGAAGTTGTAGGCTTGCAGGCATCGTTACCGTTATCAGTACTGACTTTTGCTGTCACCTGTTCAAGTTCCTTCTCCTCCTTTTCACGTTTCTTAATTGCTTCTTCTCGTAGCATCAGTTCAATAATTTCTTTCATATGCTTTGGTGAAACCTGCGGAGAGAATACACATTGGCAGACATTATTTGTTAACATAAAAGTCTTACGTTTTCAAACCAGTGTGATGAAGAAGTCACCCACATGCTTCTCCATCAAGTTAAAAAAAAACATACTAAAAAGTAAATCTGCTTGTGTTGTGATAGTGTAACTAATTATTAAAATCCGTTAGTAACGTGACTCAAGCTCCATAATCAAGCTTGTTGTCTCGACTAGTCTATATGAGCTACTTGGATATATTGAACGGACCTTGACATTTTCACGGCCTACGGCGTCAATGACCTTGAGCACGATGTCAATCTCGATCTTCCCATCGTGGTCAGAATCGATTGTGTTAAGGATCTCCTGAATCATCTGGATTCGAGTGTCATCGGAGGTCTTCTGAAGTCTGCGCATCGAAAGCATTAATTCGTTGATACCTGCAGGACATTACATTTAACGCGAAGCGTAAATTAGTTTTGATGTTGAACACGATATATCAACACGGTATAACTAATGTCCGAAAAAAAACTTAATAAATATATGACGCATAAGGGCTGTGTAGTCTTGCAAATTATGTTAAGATGCTTATTCAAAATCACGTACCAATGATGTCGTCTCGCACAGACTCAGCCGTCGCCTGATCTTTGATAATAGTTTCTTGTTCCTTAAGCTCCTTCTTTTCATCATTTAACTTCTCGATAATAGTATCGAGACTCTTGATCATCGAGTTAACCTTTTTATACAGTCGGTGAGCACCCTTAGCCTCCTGTAGCTCACCTGTGCCCTTTGTAACTTGTACGAGTTCCTGTACATCCTCTTCGTACTCCTGGACTTCCTTCTTTAATTCCTCGATCTCTTCCTTCTCAATAAGCAGCCGGTTCTTTTCGGCAGCGATATTTTCGAGGGCTCCTTCCAGCTCATCGAGATCTTGTTTCGACAATTTCTGCTCCTCCTCGGTGGGCGCAATTACTTTAGCTTTGTCAATAAGACGCTCTTCTTTCGCAACTAAAATCTCTGCAGCGATATCTTCTATCTCTTTTTCGAGCCGCTTTCTAGCTTCTGTCTCCTTGACCTTCTCCTCCATCTGAGCCCGTTTCTCTTCGCGTTGTTCTTCTTTAATGGCGAGCTCCTCTTGTTTGATGATCTCTAATTTTGTACGGTTATCGACTTTGCCTTCAACCTCACCAATCTTATACTTCGCTCCTGTAATCGCTTCTTTTGGTAGATGAGAAATAGTTTCCCTAAGCTGCTCTGTGGGATTGACATTTTCTGGCAATAGCATCGCCCGCGAAAGAAGTAACATAGATGGGGGAATGGATTCCCTTAAACTTAAATCAAGCCACTGGTTAAGTTGGTATCGCAGCTTTTCCTCGGGCACCCCTAGAGAACGCATACCTCTAGCACGGCATGCCTGTTGCAACTCTTGAACTGTCAATGCATCCAAGCCTTCTTTCTTTATAAGGGCGTCATCATTTTTCAGGTTTTTTAGTCGCATCCGTAATTGGAATCGAAGCACCTGTGTGGTTCCTGCAAATCCAGAAACACTAATTTAAATTGGCTTAAACGGTTTTATCATTTGTGAATAAGAAAAACAAAAAAATATCAATGCAGTACCTCTTATTCTGCGTCAACTAAAATCACTTAAATTTGACATGTCCTTATCAGAAACTGAGCTTCAAGCTGAAATCGCTATGCCCGTTGAAAGCTGTCAAGTAAATTTTACCTATAACGCGCGGTAAGGACGATACACACGATAATAATAGTATCATGCGGCCTAACCTTTGGCCCCTTGCATTCCCCTCTTGTTGAATAGCTGTTAATTAAATCATCGACAAGATTATTACTCCGAATAGTTCACTACTGTGCAATGCCCAGCACACGCTCGTGCATGCCCAGCCCACATCTACACTTCTTCACCCATAATGTGGCCTGATTTAATCTCAGTGTATGACGTTACATCCATTCGTTAGCCAATAAAAGGCACATGACCTTTTCAAGCCATGTGGTCCACCATAGGGACGTTACGCGCCACCATACCGGTGTGGGCTTTTAGAGTCGATACGTGCTTTTATAAGCTATACTAACAGACACAATACAGCGAAGCCTGCAAGAGTGTAGCAGGAGAACATTACCTTCGCGCAATGGTTGCTGCTGCTCTCGCTTTAACAAGCGGGCGTCAGCTACTCTTCTTGCTGACACAAGGCGAAAGAACTAATGGTGACCTGTTAGTAAAGCTACAAGCCAATACGATCAGCGGTTTATTGCAGTAGTCGATTCTATTTTGGGAAGCAGCCACAGCGGCGACGACTGCAACACATATCACATTTGCCTACGTACGCGTGCGCTCCCCCTTAGATTCCCAGACGGGTTAGAAAGAACGGCCAAGCCATAATTATACAAGGATCTACTAAAATGACAATGTGTTGTCATACGGTATAAGACAGCCACCGGAGCCGCTTGGCGCGAGGAAAGCAGTGAGGGCCAAAATGACACCAATCGGCACATGTGCTCTTGCGATTGGAAGGCGCGAGCAGTACAGAGACAATACAACTAGTAGCGATGTGAAACAACGGAAACGCATCGCATGTTCTAATCAACTCAAGATAGTGTTGTCTAATTGCAAAGATGCCATAAACGTTGTTGGTATAGCAAAATACAATAGCTAGTAATGATATTGTATTGTTATTGTTACTGCAGATGTTAGCCAACTGGTAACAACTATTTTTCTTCAGGCAATACTTTTAAAATTGGGAGTAAGTTCGGAACATCCTTATTTAAACTGATTAGTATTTATTCAGAAACTCATCTTGCCGCTTGCTAGGCAAAATTCAATGCATCTGCATTAATTCTAAGCTAAAGTATCAGATTTCGCGTGTGATTCCAACGGAATGTTATCGAATCGACAGGTATTGAAATCAGCAAGATTACAGGTCATGTCTACACCTGGATTTTGAACTCTTTCCATATGGGATTCACAAGAGAGGGAACAATGCATACGGTATAATCAAATCGGACACTCTGCGCAGAATTCACGCTAATGGCTAAGTTACTCATTCGATGACTATTTTTTTTTTTGACTTTCGAATATAAAATGCAAAGCTTCCTACGTGCACATTATTACCTTAAATAAAAAAATCACAGTAGTTCAAACTCAATTTAGATTTAAACCCAAGACTTATATGAAACTTAGAACTAAAAATGTCATTTTCTTTCTTGATAAGTATGCTTTAAGTGTTCGAAAGAGTACATCACACGATCTTACGCAATTAGAAAGACTGAACCAATTCACGTTTAAGATAGGCTCTCACAAAGCAAAGCGGAAAAAACGCCTGCGCGGTAGGTCAATACCGATGGCACCAAACTTAGGGTTGTAAACTTCACAAGCTCCCTGCGGATTCTTTGGATCGGATCCGCTTCTTTAAGAAATTACTGTTTGGAAACAGGTGCTGTAATCGGATGGCGTTTAAGTAAATTGTGCGCATTGAATAGACTGGTGGCTAATTTCATGCCTTTGGAGTCGCACGTTGATTCGGCATATACCTAACAAATTAACTAAATCTTTAGAAGTTCAAGTGGCTAGCTAATCAGACCAACCTAATGTGGGTATATCAAGTAATCTGCAGAGTGCAACTAGCTGTTGCCTGTTCAGTGTGTCTAGTGTAATCTCGTCTTCGAACAGTTTTGAAAACTTTAGGATTTCTTCACTGCTAGCGAAATTGCCAGATTCTCGGATCTTCTCACAGAACATAGCAAACTCCTTTGCCGCATGAGAGTGAGTTTCACCCTTTTTTTTAACAGCCATCTCATCTAAGGCTGTTTGTAGAAACTTGGCCATCTCTAACTTCATCTTCAGTTGCGTCTTGATCTTCGCCGACTCGTCCTTGGCTGATTGGAACGTCGATGGGAGCATGTTTGGAAAGAGTTTCAGTGCCACCGGTAGCAACAGCTCCATAAAAGGTACGATGATAAACACTGAGAATGGCAAAAGTCGAAACAGGTCAGATGTTGTTCGAACCAATTGTTTATGCTCACGCCGTGTTAAGTCCTGGCCATTAAGTATCCGATACAGAAGTCGACTGCATACTCGAATGTCGATGAATAACAACCGAAACCCGTGATAGTAATGTATAAGTTCGTCGATAATTCGTTTCATTAGTGACCGTGGTGGAATGACCCCTTCTTGCAAACCTTCAGGCTGAACAAAAGCGCTCGCCGTAGGCTGATTTGTCTTCTTGTCAACTTCTTCCTTGATGAGGGCTTTTACAGTTGTCTCAACTTTAGAAGAAGGATTTGCCACTTCTTCCTTCGATTCTCTATTGTTCGGCGGCGTAGGTGGCAGAGGGGGCAGTTGAGTGGACCGTGAACCTTGTGGTATGGCCGTCGAATATAGATGATACTGTGGGAAAACGTACGTCCTGCTGTTTCCTTTTCCTCGTCTATGTACCAATGCGGACGACGACGCAACGGCCGGTGTGAACGTCTTATAATTAAAGTATTGGTTAGCCTTATGCTGGGTCACTGCCCGAAAAGTTAACGCGCTACGGGTGACCCGCAGCGGAGTGAGGCACAGACGATACATCCCAAACTACGTTATGTTAATCGGGAGGCACAGAAATAAGCACTGTACACGCTTAAGATATCTAGACACCTAGAACACAAACAGGGATCATAACGAATATGGGTTCACACGCACCCCCACAGGTCTGATCGAATTGTTTTGCACAACTCAACCACTAGGACCGAACAACAGACACTAACCCGCCGTTTATTCAACTAGCAACCCAGATCCTCGAAACGCACTAACACGGGTTTATGTGTCTGGAAACTAACCGATCGGCCTTCCCTTCGCCGCAGCGTGTGCACAGAAACTACAACAAAAAACTTTCCGCTGGCTCGATAATTGGCGGAACACGTCCTAACTAGTTGGGCTGTCCCTGGCGTTAGCGACACCACGACACAAGGGCATAGTTGTGGTTGGCTGGGGAATAGGAGAACTAAGGAGTGCGCGAAGGATCAAGGTAACGCGCGCGCGCGGAGGATTTCAAACTAGGGCAGCAACTTCAAGCAAAATTCAAGATCTGAAGACCTCTGGCCTTAATTATGGTTTATGTGTAAAATTACTACTTCTACTACTGATGTCGCTCATCGTAGAATTATTAGGCGCTCAGGCATCCACTTGGATACAACGACCCTTTTCTGTAATAGCAAAATGTCAATATAGTTACCATAAAACAACGTTCCCTTAATTGAGAGATGAAAAGCTCCTATAATATTTACAATTTACAAGCAGGTGATCTGATTCACATCTTATGCAACCAACTTATGCGACATCCTGATTCCTGCACCGTCGTTGCTTCATCGACTGCTGGGAATCAAAGAATCGGCTCAACATGCATTTGGTGTCCTTATTATTATACTTACTGTGGAGGAAAACAGAATCTAGTCGGTGCTGTTCTGTTGGTTATCTTATCAAAATTAAACATTCACACTTAAGAACTAAGAATTCATCTAAGGCTTGTCATAGCTGATCATGTCCTAAGGGTTTAGAACATGATAACATCGATACCTCAAATCACTTTTCACACTTTATAATCAGTTATGAGTAATGTTCTGTGCGCTTCTATATATATACATATTTATATATTTGTACCTGCTAATATGCCGTATTATGACGAATTCATAAGACGCTTTTCCCTCCTTGCAAACGTTGATTAAAATTGAACTTAGTCACCGTTATGTAAAGCGGTATCTGTGCCGCGTAAAAATAAATTAACTGTTATACAAAGAAAAAGTCAATCATAATACTGCCAAAAATTTAATAATCAGAACCTCTTTTCATTTATCTGGCCAGCTGCACAATTCACAAAACCTGATAACCATTTATTTGACTATACATTTCTATCGAGTAGAATCAGAAGACGATCTATTGCCATATCAGTTATCAGACTAATGCATTTCTAATTCAACCATAGTTATCGTATGAAATTGCGCAGAGTCTATTCTGTCACACAAGCAATGAAGTGGAGATCGATGAGAATGCAAATTAAAATATCATAAGGCTCGGCGGTAGCAGATAGTGTTAAAGACAGTTTTTCTTCATAGACTTTAGCAGTACACTTTCAATATCGAGTTTCAAATACGTTGGGCCTTGTAAATGTGAGTTTTGTTAATGATTTTTGATGTATTTGATTTTTACAAGATTATTAACAATATTGTTTACCAGTTCGGTGCTTTTTTTTACCAGTGTAGCTCTCAACAATGTCTATAATGTGGAAAAGGACGCTGACGCTAATGCCGCCGAAAAATTGGTTAATCAACCAGTTTTAATAAAGTAATTTGAAAAATAACTATAAAAACCATTTTGTTTAAAACTGAGCTTCTGGTAAATGGTGATTTTTTATTTACTTAACTGAGTTAAAAAACATTTTGACAGTTTTCAAAATAACTTTAAAGAGAAAAAAAAATGCTGAAATCGGCGATGATACAAAACGCTGATAGCTGCGTCATCGTGCTGGTATGCAGGGATCGATTAAAGAGGAGCGCTTAGAAATTATATATCATTAAGTAGTGTATTGTACTTTTTATTGATTTTCCCTATACGTCAAAAGTCACGTGGAAATGCGTCACATCTTCATATTATGTTTACATATAGTTATACATTAATATCAAATGTACTTATGCAAAGAATAACTTTTTTAGCTATGCAATAATAAATAATTGGCTATGGCTATACCTTTTCACATCAAGCACATATCTGGTTCCCAAAAGTACCATCTTATGTCGCCTTGAACATAAACGCAAAATATGCACGCCACGTCATTTTCACAAGCAGCTATTAACAAATCTCTGCTTTAAACAAACACACACCAGTGTCCTTCGACACCAAGAGTGCATTACGATGAAAACGATATTCTTGTTCGTACACGATAGCGCTGTTGCGTACAAGGATCTCTTTCCACTGCTCAGTTTTGTTTTATCCTATAAACCCTACATTTTAACGAGGTGATGACAAGTTTGTCTGTACGAGTTCTGTTCATTTCCAGGCCTGAAGATGCATTCGCAAATAGCCGATGAAACTCCTTGCAGTACTCACTAGCTACGATAGTGTCTACTACTTGTAATTCTTAAAACAAAGGGAATGCTGTAGTTTGTTTTTACTTGCGCCAAACTCTCCGGCTGGGAAACGCCAGGCGTTTAAAGTAATGCCTAATGGCTTAAGTACCGGACGAAGAACACGAAAAGCAACTTTTATGGTAAGAGATCTTAGTGTTTTTTCATTTTGCCAGACGGAATTAAAGCCACGTGACTTAAACGGCGATAATTTCATTAATGAGAACAGTCGCATTACACACTTAGGAAATCAAGATGGTGATCTATCATAAATCAAGTTTTTTTTTTCGTTTACACCATCAAGGTAATGCGGTTAAGTATCTTCTTCTCTTAACCTAAGTCTCCATTCATAATCACGTGGCGATATAAAGCCTACCTGGTCTCGGACAGCATTGACACCGTGGGTCAGTTAGTAGAACCACAAATAAATCAATATCGTACTTATTATCAGCATTAAAATATAGAATAATTAAGATACTAACGGAATCCGATACAGTGCAAGTAAACACTTGGTACTTATAGGGTCTTTACGAGGAGATGTGCGTTTGGTCATTGCTACAAACCAGTCGATACTTTTTGTCTGTCTTAATATGGTTTAAGCCAGCTAGTGCTGTGTTCAGTGTGCTCTTGTAATCACACTTGTTGACCACTCCTTTTTTTTGTTAATTCTTCATTATATTTTTAATAGGTCTCAGTGTTCGGTTTTGAAGTCCGTTTGCACATGTGAACGATACAGCTTTAACCGAGACACATGAATTCTCGCTCCTTTTCTGTTTTAACATAATACTTTCATTCAAATTTACGACCATTCACATAGGGCAGTTGCCAATTATATACGTTAACAGCACAAGCAGCTCAGGCTGTTTTTCGCTTCCTCTGTTTTAGAAGTATTTAGACGTAGCACCGCAGAACAGTATTCACCTTTCTGAGATTTCACTACAAGACATTTAATTAATTTGTACTAAACAATCAAAGATTATCATAACTTAAAGTTAGCAACACAATACGGACAACTTACTATTCGCATACTTCTCGACTGTAATTTTCAAGGCAAGCCGTTTGGTGGACACTTCGTCAACGTATTTTACTGTCTTTTAAGGCGAACGATAATTAACAATATAATCTGTCACAGTAAATCACGAAGCGTATGAGAGAACCAATATCTAATTCCGTATTAATCTCAGAAATGGTATAAAGGAAACAAACCACCGTCTTTTCGTTCGTGAAATAGGCGAGTCGCATTCAACGTAATATTCCTCTCTCGCTAAGTAAGAAACTAGATAAGATGTTTGCAATACGATACTGTCAGTCACAAACATTATCAAAAGGTACAAAGGAAAACAGCGTGCTAGCAGATCTACAAATCACTTCAGGAAGGTGGAGCTAGCCGTTGACGTTGTGTCGTTTAGTAAGTAGTGCTTTGCCCTTGTGATGGCGGAGGTTTATGCATGCAGTTTCCGTCGGGATATCTTCGACGGAAATCTTCGATAATATCCTGATCGTTAAGTCGTACGCCATCTAGCTGGTTTCCTAGAGTCATCCAATTCGGCTGGATGTTATGTGGTCTACCGAACAATTCGATTTTGCGCGTTCCGGGACTCAGACGTTCGATGATACCTGAAAGCAAAAATAAGATATACGGCTTTATTTCTGCGTACATAAATTTATCAGGGCAGGTCATCACTACAGGTAACATATCAGATTAATGCTCAACAGAAAATCGATTGGATTCCAAATAAAACAGTGCGGCTAAACATGGTGTATTACTAACTCTGCTGATGTCCATAGCATAGAATAATTTACTGTGAGTTAATTAATTTGATTTTGTACTAGAAGAAAATGAAATACTAGATCATACCGTAAATTTCATCAGGTTTATGCGATGTAGCCCGAACCTCTGCGACGATAACGTCACAGTCGAGCCAGCGGTTGATGTGTGTTGGATCACCCTTCATGCCGACAAGACAATGTTCTTTTCCATGGTTTAACCAGTGACCCGTTCGCCCTTAAATAACCGATGAAAAACAGTTGCCGTCGAGTATGTAATGTTTTATCTATTTATTGATTTATTTATTTTTATTATACCATTACATATTCGAGATGCTACAATAGTGTCCAAATAATGCATCTTGTTATTTATATACCTGTGCGTATGATCCTTTGCAACTGATTCGTTTTCACCCAAATTATTTCATCACATCGGTCATAGCCCCAGAGTTTGAGACATTCTCTGCCAAGCTCCATAGCACGTCCGGTTACCCAAAGAAAAATTAGGCCCTCGTCCTGCAGACACGGAATGTTCAACTGACGCATTTCATCATCTGACATAGTTCCATACGGAAGTTCCATATGTATATCCCAGGGAGGGTCCGCCATTATTACGCTAAATTTACCTGTTTCAAAAGAACAGAAAAGGGAAGTCTGGTCTAAATGCAGTTCTAACATATTCGACTAATTGTACATTATTATTGTAGTTACCTGTGACCGGTACTCATATTATTAAAGCTAAATGCGTTATATAATTATGGTAAACTGTAATTAGCTAATATCTCTGATATATAAATAATAGATTATACACAGTAATTAGCTAGTAGACCGAACACAGTTTAGGTGTAAAAGCCCCAGCTATCAATCGATATAATATCGGTCCCCAACAAAAAAAAACAGTCTTTCACAATTTGATGACAGCATTAAAAAAACGTAAATATGTATTCGACATATTCTCTCAAATAAAATTTCCCGAGCTGGTACAGATTCGAGTTTCGGCAAAAAGCACCACAGCATTTAGCACATCTGAATCAAATGCAAACTGTTCAAAAAGCTGATGCCATTTTGGCTGACCACCGTGTAATATCGGGTCGTGTACTGCAACGTACCCAATATTCTCATATCGAAGAATCGGAGATCGCATTGTATCCATTGTGGTGGCTGCAGAATGGCCACTGGCTTTTCCAACTCTCCGGCTAACCCAGTCGAGATTCGTCCTCCGGGACCACCACTTGCTGCCACGGTGCCAGATCCTGACCCGCCCGAATGACCACTGTAGATCCATCGATTTAAAATAAGTATATTACCTTCAGTTAACATCTCATTTTACATAGAACAAACTAGGAATTTCGTTGCCGGCCAATGTAATCAAGAACATTTATAGTTTGCGCGAAACGAAACCTTGTACAGAAAGTCATTCACAGCGATTCTGTGAAAGAGAACAAAGATTTGTGCGCGTAATCTAAACATCTCTATTGAATGAACCTTTCATATTAGTCGATTGCGCTCTCTAAAGTGCCACTAGCTGCCACAATAAATTAATAACCACAATGCATTTTAAACAAATTAACAGAAATAAAAACTTTTAGTTTCATATTTCTCAATCGTGCGATTTCTCCATCATATACAAGATACCAATGTACGAAACAACAGCGGGAAGAAAAAGGAACCTATACATCAGGTTTTCTCAGCTCAACCGTTGTTCGGCTACCAAAGACTTAACAATTGTTGACCATAACATTGTTCTCTTGATGACGAAAAGAGTCTAAACGTAGTGCCCAACTAAGCTAATATGTAACATTAGTATAGAAACGTAATTCACGTATACACTGGTAGAGTCTGGCCAAACATTGGAACAAAGCGAAATCAGCTACGTTCACCCATTTGCACTTCGTATCCCAACTATTGAAGAAGCTGATAGAAGTAATAAACATTTATTGCAATTTGAAGTTCATTGAGAGCAAAAATATACTTCACAAAAACCAATTCAGTTTTAACAAAATGCCACACATCAGTTCGCTTCAGTCGATAGAGCAATACTTTCAAGGTTAAGTCTAACTTACACAGGGCTGTACCTAGAATGTGACGACGGACGAAAACAAACACGAAGATAGTATTATTCTGCGGATATCTTTTATATCTGGAAATGATATAGCAACGCAGCGGATTCTACAACATGTACGCGAAATCAAACTTTTGTGATTTGCATGATCTAATTGAGAAATTCACTGTTGTTCAATGTACTTGCGAAGGAAACAATAGCATTTTCAATGAACTCCCTTCGACTTACTCGGTAATAACAATATGCAAAGACATATAGAATTTTTGCAATTTATATTTTTAATTCTATCTCGGGCCCCGATTGAATCCGGGACCCTGCACAAGATACTGTGTGCTGTTTGTACAACAATTGCAAATTCGAAATTGAAAAATTATATAGGTTTCAGCGTTAAACTGGGATCAGTACTACATAAGTAAATATCACGTATAACGCGTTTTTGACGTACTTCACCACGAAGCTATTTTTGTAAGGTAAAATAGTGGAAACTATATCGTTAACAATCTTGAAAGACACATATGTGGCACGAGTACCAATTCTTGCGAAATGTCTTCGTTCAAAAACTAAGTCCAAACGATAATTTACGATACGTCCAAACGATAAATAAGACTAAATTGTGTAAACTGTTTCGCTGGATTCCATAGCCAGCTTCAATGAATATATCATTATTGCACGTATATTCAAGATGCACGTTATTATTAACTACTATTAGAAACCAGTATTGAATAAACAGAAAATGTCTCACAATGATTATTTTCTACTTCACTTCACAGAACTGAAAATGTGCGAAATCAACAAATATGTTCATATGATATAATAAAATGACCGTCGTTTTATCAAAGCTTTTCGGTGTCGCTGAATGATTTGATTAAGGTTAGTCTTATTAATGCATAATGCGTAATAATTAATATGCAGACGTTGACGCTTCTAGTATAATTCATATTATGGTTGGAGGTTGATATAGCAAGTGTATGACGCCCCATACAAGGGAATACTAAAAAGTGTAGAACGACAACGGGATGTTTTGAAAACGGACCTGATATCTACTTGATAGTGTACATATTTGCAGGTGTCCATATGAAAGCACGTATTTAAGAACGAACAGTCTCCGAGCGTCTCATCCGTGTGTTTTTGAAGTATCTTTTTGAAATGAAGTCGACCACAAACCTCCGCACTTCCGCACTGGCTTGCCCGCAAACGGCATTCTGCTGCTGTTCCGTGAGGACAATACTCTTGGACCTGTAATTCAACTAATGTTATATCGGTATTCTTTGCATTTTTTGGGGCAACAATCGTTGCAGTCCAGTTCCAGGACACGTTTTAACAATAATTTTATTAGCAACTGATTGATTTGTTCTTAAATCTTCTGTACGACTGGATTGTCAGATTCATAAATTATAACGACGTCAAAGCCGGAGCCAAGTCGCTGCGTATGATGGACAATAAGGGAATCATTTAAGCTCATTCGATGATGCCGGTAATAATAATAATAACAAAATTCCATATTGACAAACCCTGGGTCCGTAGCCGTTCATGGCAGATATCTAGCTGTAAATTGCTCACCATTTATCAGTTTAAATATGGTCAATTTAGTATCCGCTTGACCTTCGCCGAAAGCTTATGCTATTTCACTGGAGGTTTTTGTTATTCGAAAAGTCTATTAGTATTGATTAAATTACCTAATACCTAAAAACTTCCGGACAAACAGATTTTAGCTATTATCAACCAGTGCTACCCAACGTGCAAGAGTAACCATTGCTTCCAATCTACCAAAATTATTGCTGGATAATGCTGCTGTATGCTGCATAATGCTAATAATAGATGATGACCTAAATGTAGATCATAGTAATTCCGAACAAGAATGAAGAAGACGCCACTTTGATAAACGAAAGAGGTGTACCATTTAAAAGACATTCATCTTTTGGTGATGCTTGTAATCACAGGAATCCTGATCCATTATTCGATTCATAACGTAACGGACAGATCGAGGCAGATAATGATCGCCAGCAACTTTATCCTGAGTTCTATGTTTTGATATGAGAAGAACTGAAGCCAACAAAAACATAGACACAACTTGAGCTTACCGAGGCGCCACCCTGTGACTTAAATTTTTCAACGAGCGATCGCTCTTTTGCAGTCGGTTTGCTTAGCAGGTCCAGAATTTCTTCGCCTACTTTTTTGCTTTCCTTTTCTCTTGTTGACGGAAGATTTAACAGGTTTTCAATGAGATCGTCTGTTTTTCCAGCAACCGCTTCTTTGGTTGTTTTACCTGTTGTGTAGGCGCAATAACATCAACTGTTTGAATTAAACTTCAATAAAAATATTATACGTTTATGGAACTAATGACACATAGAAAGGTCGTGCGCAGTACAAAACAGTGCCTGCACATACAGTATTTTCCACGTCCATCCTTCGGGAAAGACTCAATGACTACCGGGAAGTGTTTTGATTTCATAGATAGCGAAAATATAAAGAATATTGTACCAAGTATGAGCAGAACAAGACCACACACAAACCTATGAACCTCAAGGCAGGATGCGCTGCAGTTCCAACACTGGTCTTGGTCGGGTTGTTTTCCGGACTACCCCCACTGTCCTGGACACTTGCCTTTCCAATATCGTCGTCTGCCACAAGGGATGCAAGACGCTGATTCTTTTCCGGCGGCTCGACACTGTCATCACGGTCGCGTAACGTCAGACTGAATGCATGTAGTTTCGAGTGTTCAGCCGAAATTATACTTAGACATTCCTTACCATCCGATCCTAATAAGAATAAAAAAATAATTTAAAAAAATTAAAAGAATCTTATTATCGAGGCGTATAGTTATCTCTTCAGCTATATGGATGACCAAGTGCAGTACTGCACTGTTGCGTACTGAATCAACTTGCGTTATTTATATGTAATTTTCCTTGATATGTAACATCTGGCTTTGTAATAAAAAAAAAAAAGTTTTTTTTTCATCGTATCCCCTTACCTTTGCTTTCTTTGATTGAGATGAATGCTTGAGCAGCAAATTTCTTGAGAAAATTATCGACGGTTGCTTGAGGGACATGCTTGACATCGTCAAGGCTACGCGTAACAGCGGCCACGATAGCGCGCGAATCAAGAGGCAGGTCCAGGGCGACATCAAGAAGGCACAGGAGCAGCTTTGCCTCAATCTCCTGTTCGCTGGCCGGCTCTTGTTTATCTCCGCCGGGATATCCCTCTACAGGGGAATCTAAGGCGCTGCGTTCGTCCTCCTTACCAACGGCGACGTCCTTAACGCAAGAACCAGTTGTAACTGATTCTACTCCAGTAATTCCTATACGAAGATGATATCAAGGAATGAGTTTCTTTTATAATATTGGAAAAACTAGCTGTCTATGATATCATTAACAATGGCTTCCTTAATCATGACATTGCTTTGTAAAAAGCGGAAGATCGTTTCGTTATAAATACCTATCTTTGCAATGACGTTAGTTGAGACTGTCCACCGGCAACGGTAAGAATGATTAGCATAAAATCAACCAGATCGTTCTTACATTGAATTCCTCGCTATTACGGTGGATATAGGACCACAAAGAGAGTAGTCGATATTCTGTTGTTAAGAAACGCGGAGCCTGCTAATTATGTCCAATTTTTCTTCGGCATTTTATATAATTATTTTTAAATTTATCAAGATTTAAATGGAAGCTTACGTAATTCAGTTCGGCGAGAGCTTATGGAAAAGGTTACGGACATTACTTTTCAGACGTCTGTAAGATGAAATTTTTTTGTCATTTTAATATGTCAACCATAAAGGTTCAAAAAATGCGCTCAGTGGCACGCGATAGCGTCAAAGTTCTACGAACAGTGACAGAACCGATCGACTGACCAATTATTAAAAGCCTTAAGATATCTCCATCGATTTACAGATGCTGATTGGAAGTGAAAAATCGTATCCGATTTACGACTACCTGTTAATAAAAAATTAGAAAAAAACACTAACTAATATATGATCGATTTAATTACAATGCAATACATTGCCACGAGTGATACCGTAAATACCCTCTTAATCACGGGCTCATCCTGCCTCTGCCTTGCGAATAATAGGTCCAAAGTTCCTGCCTCGCCTTGCGCAAACACCGTTTCTAAAACGATGATTACTTATAGCCACTACGGATAATGATTAATAAGATAAGCGTTCATCAGCTTATTCAGATTCATCTGATATTATAGGATTTTGCTGTTCTTGTGTAGGAATTTTTGTGTCTAGTAAAAACCTATTGTATTTTCCAAGCATGCATCAGCTTGATTACCAAGGACGCAAATCGCGTTTCAAAATACAAATTGATACAACTTTGTACTCGTAGTTTCTTAATAGTTATTATAGTTGGCTTTTTTTAATATATATATATATACATAC